GTGCTCTGCAAGGATGACGAGAGGGTAAAGCTAACATGGTTCTCGCGCGTCACACAGATGCTGGTGGACAAGTACGCCCTGACCAAGTCGTTTAGCAAGCTCATCCTGCATCACAACCCGTCGCCGGAGCAGCAGACGCCGCCAGCCAGCTTCGTGCGCAGAGTAGAGCACTGCATGAACCGCATGGACCCTCTGCTCAAGACGCTGCAGGTCCGCGCGTCACCGCCCGAGGGGCTGGTGCAGGCGTACCTCATCCACATCGGCGACCGATCCGACACCAACTTTAGGAAGATCCTGGACCTCAAGGGCGTCCGCAAGCAGGACTACTTCCACCTCGTGGAGCTATTTGGAATCCACCGCGACAGCGGTTCAAACGGACAGCTCGCCGCCAACTCACCACTCCTGACGCCCCTCATGAATCCCGCAGCGGCGGCGACCCAGGCGGCGTCGTCGTCATCGTCGGCACCGGCGTCCACGGGACACGGCAGCGGAGGCGGATCCCTCAGCAGCGCGACGCCACTGTTCGACACCGGTTCCCTGGGCGAGAAGCTCCTGAGTGCGGCGAGGGACATCGGCACGGCGGCGGGACCGAGCGGGGCCGAGAGGGCGACGATGAATGAGAACCTGCGCAACTTTGGGAGGTTTTTCAAGAGGGATATCGGGGGGCTGGGGGCTAGATTTGGCATGCGAGATGGGAGCGAGGATGGGTTACGGTGAGAGACGGATGACAGGTTGTCGCATGATGGCGTACTTCTTCGCGGGGCACTGTGGCATCCCGGTGTGATGTACACAAAACCAGTCACGATCATATGTATGAGGCTAAAGTAAAATAAATTTAAAAAATTTTAAAAAAATTTTTAAAAAAAGAAAGAAAGAAGGAAAGAAAAAAAAGGAAGGAACCGACGAATGATGAGACAACACAAGCCAGTGAGATAGAGACTTTGATTGATTACAGCAATATGATTTGTTTTATCAATCACCTCTTGGCAATGGTGATTCCAAAGTCGAGAATGACGTACGAGGGGGTGGGTAGGCTTAGTCATGTGAAATGGAATAGGGAAGATTTGGAAACAGAAACACGTTACGTATTTCGGGGTCCCCTAGCGTCTATGGAGTATTATCACCTGTACGGAGTACATCTGTACATACGAGTTATGGGTGATTATCCAAGTATACGCGTAGCTGTGCTGCAAAATGATTCCAAACGACCCAACGACGAAACGACATTCTCTTTCCTTCTCTGACCTCTCGCCTCCCATTTTTTTGCCTCTTTTTTTTTTCTTTTTTTCCTGCCCCTTCACATCCCTTCTCCTCTCCGATGTCCCACATTTCCCTTCCTGCAGCTTAGGAATCGACATCGATAGCCCAATCGAATTGCAGCAAGCCCGCCCTTCTCCAAACTCTCGTTCCTCTTCGTCTATCAAGCTCCTTTTTTTTTTGGCCCCGTCTTTCCTGTTGCCGTCCGACACCGGAGACCGACCGGCGAACGAGAGAGAGAGGCTCTTGATTTAATACCAAGAATATTTTTTTTTTTTTTAGAGTGAGTGACCTACATGCAACTAGCTACCCCGCCGTTGCATTTTCCCCCCCCCCCCCCTCCAAATGAGGGCCTCTCTTTCTGGTTAGAAAGGTTAGAAGGGGCACAGAGAGAGAGAGAGAGAGAGAGAGAGAGAGAAAGAAAATCAGAGATTATAATATATATATTAAAACACCATCGCCTCCAGGTCCCCCTCCTTCTTTCCTCTCCCCCCTCATAACCACGTCAATACCGCCAAACTGTTCGCCTCAGCTTTTCGAAGGACGCTTCGCTCGAGCGCTGGACTATCGATTGCTGCCGCTGCTACCGGAATACAAAAGACTACACATACGCCACCGACTGAATTTGGAGTTCGGAAGATGCACAGCAAGGTTATCAGTATGCTGCTTCCTCTCCCCTCATCTTCTCCCTGTCTACCCCCCTCCCTTGAGGGACCCGTACGATACTGACTTCCCATCACAGTCATCGGTTCGGGCCCGGCTGGCCACACGGCTGCCGTGTACCTGGCCCGAGCTGAGCTGAAGCGTACGTCTCCCCCCTCTCTTTCGCCCCTCTGCTCGTCGGTGGTGGCAGTACTTTGGCAGGAACTGACCGTGCGACACAGCCGTCATGTACGAGGGTTTCATGGCCAACGGTACCGCTGCCGGCGGTCAGCTCACGACGACGACGGAGATCGAGAACTTCCCCGGATTCCCCAAGGGTATCATGGGTTCCGAGCTCATGGTGAGTCCCCCTCACTACTCCGCCCGTCCAGCCTCCCCCGGCCGAGACAAGCCCTTGAGAGGAGATGACGGCAGAGGCTGACGCGGTGCACGCCAAACGTAGGACAACATGCGCGCCCAGTCCGAGCGCTTCGGCACCAAGATTGAGACCGACACCGTGACCAAGCTGGACCTGTCATCGCGCCCTTTCAAGTACAGCACAGAGTTCAACCCGGACGAGACGCACACGGCCGACGCCGTCATCGTGGCGACGGGCGCGTCGGCGCGCCGCCTCCACCTCCCCGGGGAAGACAAGTACTGGCAGAACGGCGTGTCGGCGTGCGCCGTGTGCGACGGCGCCGTGCCCATCTTCCGCAACAAGGCCCTCTACGTCATCGGGGGCGGTGACTCGGCCGCCGAGGAGGCCATGTTCCTCACAAAGTACGCCAGCCACGTCACCGTCCTGGTGCGCCGCGACCAGCTCCGCGCCAGCAAGACCATGGCCACCCGCCTGCTCAACCACCCCAAGGTCACCGTCCGCTGGAACTCGGTCGCCACCGAGATCCGCGGCGGCGAAAACGGCCTCATGAGCCACCTCGTCGTCCGCGACGTCGTCAAGGGCACCGAAGAGGTCGTCGAGGGCAACGGCCTCTTCTACGCCATCGGCCACGACCCGGCCACCGCCCTCGTCAAGGGCCAGGTCGACATGGACGACGAGGACTACATCGTCACCAAGCCCGGCACCACCCTCACCAGCGTCGAGGGTGTCTTTGCCGCCGGCGACGTCCAGGACAAGCGTTACCGCCAGGCCATTACCAGTGCCGGTATGTCTTTCATCCTTTCCCTTCCCATCTGCTCCCTTACCCCCCCCCTCCTCCTCTTCTCGTTCAACATGCTGACGGCAACATAGGCACTGGCTGCATGGCTGCCCTCGAGGCCGAAAAGTACCTTGCCGACCGCGAGGCCGAGGAGAGTAAGTAGACAAGACTTGCTAGCCAACTTTCTCCCTTATATACAACAGAATAATTCTCTTTTTTTCCCCCCTCCTTCTTTTGCTGGCGAGATATAGACCACCAATTTTTACATATAAAGAGGGGAGTAGGCAGGTAGGGAACAGGTCATGTAACGAATCAAAAAAGGAAAAAAAAAAAAAATCAAAACAAGAGTTGTGCGTGTTGAAATAAATAATAACGATATCTTTCTCTCTTGATTTCCCAACCATCTCAAGGCTCGAACCGACACGACCATGATACGCCACGGCTGTGATATCCTACGACTTCTACACACCCATTTTTCTTTACCTTCTTCCTGTTTCTTCTTCTTCTTCTTTTAGCTCCGAGTCATCTCTCACGTTTTCACCTTTGTTCTTCTTATTTCATTCATTCCCGTGCTACGTTTTATAAGGTCCATGTCGATAGCTGTAGTCATTAGGATCCATGTTCCTTGATATTAAAATGCAGCAATATCGCTTATAAACCAATCCAACTCGTGAGGTCATTGCATTTCACTCTTCTCGACTCATCTTTTTTTGCTGTTGTCTTTTTCTTGCCTACGTCTTTTCCTAGATCGTACTCAGGGACATTGCAAGTCTTTTTACTGCTCCAGCTCAAGGAGAGCAGGGGCTTCGATGGTGGTGCCCTTGAGGTTTTCCATACCCTCGCCGCCCTGTCCAGGTAGGTTAGTATATGTGGTCAAGGGGGAAGGTGAGAGGGGGAGAGAGAGCCTTAGTGGAGGAGAGGAGAGGGACGAAAGGGAAAGGAGAGATGGGGCAAAAAAAAAAAAAAAAAAAAAAAAAAAACTCACGTAGCTGATGAGAGGGGAGACCTCGACACCACCGTCGTTGATGACGGTAGCGCCGGCAGCCTTGGCCCAACGCTCACCCTGGGCGGTGATGTCGGCCTTGCTGGTGTCCGGGTCATCCTCGCCGGTGCCGCGGGCGTTCTTGAGGGGTGAGAACTCGTCCTCGCGACGGACCTCGAGGCAGGCGAACTTGTCGAGGGAGAGCATGGGGAAGACGTCAAAGACGAACTGCTCGAGCTTGATGCCGTTGGGCTTCTCGGGCTTGACCGTCTCCCCGGTGGACAGGTCGACCGAGGGGATCTTCTTGCGGGCGATGTGGTGGGGCAGGCTCGCGGCCCACCGGGGGATGGACTCGAGGAAGGCGAAGGAGTAGTAGTGGTTGACGATGTTGGCGGCGCGGAACTTGAGGACGTCGGGCTGCTTGGGGTCGCGGGCCTCGGCGGTGTCGGCGTCGATCTCGGAGTACTCGACGACGTCGGGCTTGCCGTTGCGCGAGAGGATGAGGCCAACGGACTCGTTGGCGCTGCGCTTGCGGACGACCTTTGTGGCGATGTCGACCTGCTTGGCGGCGGAGAAGCCGATGAAGACGGGGTCGGCCACCTTGACCAGGCAGTTGTCGACGCAGTAGGCGTGGACGTGCTGGATGCCACGGCGGCGCATGTCGTCGACGACGCCCGAGGACACGAGGGCGTTGTAGATGCCGCCGTTGCCGTCGGGGGCCACTGCCACCCTGCCGGGCGACTCGAGGATGATCTTGCCCTCGTTGGAGATGCAGGGGAGCACGCCCTGCTCGAAGATGGTCACGTTGGCCCTGTCCAGCCCGAAGTAGGCGTTCTTCTCGAAGAAGGCCTCGGTGGGGCCGCGCGTGGGACCGCTCGTCATGACGTACCACGGCACCACGCCCGTCTTGTCACCCGGGTTCCTGCTGGCCGCCAGGCTCTGCACCTTGCGGATGCGCTGGGCCTGGATGTGGAAGAGCGACTTCTTGGACGGCAGCCCGATGTCGAAGCAGCCCTTGGGGTCCGAGCTGCCCAGCCGGGTGCCCTGACCGCCGGCCATGAGCACGACGGCCACCTTGCCGCGGCTGATCAGGTCCAGGCCGGCCGCGTACCACCTGTCGATGTCGGCCGGGTCAGAGTCGAGGATGCTGGCGCTGGCCGACTCGGGGAGGGGCTCCAGCCTGTCCGGACCGTCGCCGCCCTCGGGCTTGGGGGGGTTCAGGGCACGCTCCGTCTTCTCGTTGACGCCCGCCGGGTCGATGCTCGAGAGCTGGCTGTACAGCGCGGCCTTTTCGGCGTCGGACAGCTTGTCGTAGAAGGTGAAGACGTGCTCCTGCTTGGCGGCCGCGTACCTCTCCCTGAGCTGTGCAAGGTCGGCGTCCGACGGCGGCTGGGCAGAGCTGCCGAGGTGGAGAGCCTCCTTGACCTTGTCCATTGTGTGCTGAGTGGGTGTGTTTTGTTCTTCTTCTTCTTCCTTGTTCTTGCGGTTACCGACCGAGTGAGGTCTGGATGGGAAGGGAAAAGGACAGAGATGGATTTATCTGAATTGAGTAGGGAGGAAAAAAAGGAGAGAGAGAGAAGAGGAGGTGAAGGAAGAAGAGGAGAAGAGAGAGCTACGTGGGCCAGTATAAATGTACAGGTAGCTCGATTGGGGGAGGTGGCATAAAAACAATGGTCCTCTACTACTCCGTACTGTTTGCTACATGTGGGAAGACTACGAGTACTTCTGCTGCTAGTACTACCAAGTACTGCTACTGCAAGAGAATCGAGTCTATAGGTGCATCGAAGGCAAGTGATTATTGGGAAGAGAACAAGACGGGGTACCTGGAAGGAACACGAGGGAACATTGAAAGCTCGTACTGCTGGTTCTGCTAGTAACAGGACTCCGACTGGCGGGAGTACGAGTTACGACTGTTCTGTACTAATACGATCCTGAACTGAGGGGCAAGAGGGGCACCGAAGCAAAGAAGGAGGCGGTGGCACCGGCGTCGTGTCAGGGTTAACCGTGTCCGGGTACTGACCAACGTGCCAATGGCTGTGCATTACACGGGGCTTTACGGGATTGGCGACGTCTTGGGTTGGAGGGATTGGGAGGGATCGAGAGGGATCAGTCATCCAATATCAGTACGGTCATCGTAGTTCTGATGCTATTACCCAATTGCATGTACAGATTACGAGTACCTGTGCCAGTTGATGGAAGAAGGAAAGCTTCAGACAGTGCGATACGAGACAAGCTATAAAGCACATTCATCATTCCCCATGGTTATAATGATGATACTACTACTACTACTACTATTACTAAGACATATAAGTATATGATACATATAAATATAATGATATACATAAATATAATAATATACACAGATATGATACTAGTACAGTAATCTGGGCAGATTACATATACTAGTATAATACATGATGTACTCGTACTGCTGTATAGATCAGTACTCGTAAGATAGAGTATTATTGATACTCGTACTTCGTAGTGTGCGTCGCTAGGCTCCTGCTTGATAGGGTCACTCTGTAGCTCACACCTGACGATGTGATGCTGCGTACAGACGCAAAAGCGGAAGGATAAGTTGATTGATTGATGAAGCTTCCTGCTACGATCTATCTATTGTGAGGATATGTGCGTCCGGCAGATTGTTCTGCCGGACCCGTAAGTCACGGGATCCACTGTAGTATGAATAATAATGCCTACGGGTAATCTGTACTCGTACATCCGCTGACTCACCTCATAATACGTGGGGCGGAGCTATTCCACAGCGAGGCGAGTCCCCGCCGCATCATCACAGCAACGCCAAACATACGTCCGAGACCTACAGGGTATTACTCATAACAATAGATCCATCGATCGATGCCCTCACACTAACTACCACTACAGTGAATGTATTCTATCAGCCATCAAAACTCATGGTTGAGCACCCACGTCGATCATCGCCGTGAGCATACGACGTGATGTCAATACTCCTCCTATCCTTGACATATCCACAAAACACCTCCTCATCGAGAAGTCTCACTCCCTCCCGCAGGATGCCCTCATCATGACGAGCCCCGAAGCCAATGCGGCGCCCCGGTGTCAGCCCGCCACCTTCTCAGGACGTCTCCGGCTCTCCGACTACGCGTTCAAGGGGCCTGGATCATCGACCGATGTCTCCATATCAGCCGGCAGAAAGCGGAAAACACGTTCCTCAGTCAGAGTAAAACCAGGAGCAGAAGAAGAGGGAGATGGCAGCGACGTCAAGGAGGAGGAGACGCAGGAAAGGAAAATAGAGAAGAAGAAGAAGAAGAAGAAGCAGTCCTCATCATACGCACCGCCGTCCACATACGCCCACCTCCCTCTCCTACCGGACGCCATAGGTCCGGACCTGATCGTCCTGTTCGTCGGTCTGAACCCGGGGCTCGAGACGGCCCGGACCGGCCACGCCTTCGCCCACCCGTCCAACCGCTTCTGGAAGCTGATGTACTGGAGCGGTGTGACCCCTCGGCTCTGCGAGGCCCGCGAGGACGGGCACCTGCCCGCCCTCTTCTCCCTGGGCCTGACCAACATCGTCGGTCGGCCCAGCCGTAATGCCGCCGAGCTCAGCAAGTCCGAGATGGACGAGGGCGTGGCCGCTCTCGAGGACAAGGCGCGCCGCTGGAGACCGGAGGCCATGTGCATCGTCGGCAAGAGCATCTGGGAGTCTATATGGCGTGTCAGGCACGGCGGAAGAGGTCCCACCCGTGACCAGTTCAGGTACGGCTGGCAGGATGAGTCGGAGAACATGGGCGTCGTCGCCGCCGCCGGCGCCCGCGACGATGACGGCGACCGCGACGACGGATGGCCCGGTGCCAGGGTCTTTGTCGCCACTACGACTAGCGGCCTCGCTGCGTCCATGTCGATCGAGGAGAAGAAGGAGGTCTGGAACCATCTTGGGTCGTGGGTCAAGAAGAGACGGGCTGAGAGGGGGGAACAGTATACTCCCTCATGACGAATCTGCTGGAATTTTTATCAGTACAATATCAGGGGCGGATGAGATCTAGATGCTGTTGCTGATTGTTTGGTTTGTTTTCAATCTTTTTTTATTATTATGAATATCTCTGTAAACCTATATAATGAATATTGATAAATAAGAGAAAAGACGACACAACTTGTAAGTGATCAAGCAGTCTTTACACACCTACTCTCCCTCCCACCATCCCTTTTTTTTTTCTTCCCCATCTTCTCGTTGTAGTAGTGTATACGACATGTTCATCTTTCCTCCAACTCCGTACGCCCATCCTCTTATTGCAGCCCTTCACGAGCTTGCTTGGATGATGAAAAAAAGAAACCCCCGAATTTTGTAATGATATAAGACGAAAGAGAGAGAGAGAGAGAGAGAGAGAGAGAGAGAGAGAGGGAGGGAGGGAGAGAGAGAGAGGGTGTTTGAGATTCAAGAGCAACCCACTTTCCATCCCAGGAAAGGGACGTTTTCTATTTGCAACGCTTCTCGACGATGCCGGGACCGTTCTCCTCATACTCCTTCCTGGAGATCCACATCTGGTGGAAGGTGCCCAGGCTGGATAGGATACTGCCGCCGATCCAGGCGCCGAAGCGCCTCTCGCTGCTGAGGCCGGCGGAGTGGATCTTGATCTTGACGCCCGGGTACATGTTTGTCAGCTCGTTGTTGAGGCGGTCGTTGAAGCCGTTGAGGAGGCTGGTGGCGCCGGTGACGACGACGTTGCCGAGCAGGTTAGGGCGAAGGTCGACGTCGACGGCCTCGAGGGCGGCGCGGATGAGCTGGGGGATGGTCTGGTCCTTGTTGAGGCGCTCGGCCTCGGGCAGCGGGTAGCCGGCGTCCTCGTCGAACATGCCCTCGGAGGCGCGGAAGCGCTGCTCGCGCCACATCTGGTTGTAGCCGTCGGGCATCTCGAAGACGCGGCCGGGCTGGGTGCGCACGTAGTCCTCGTTGCCGGGGGCGCTGAGCCGGCCTGGGCCGCGCCAGACCTCGACGACCGACTCCTTGAACTCGGTCAGGGTGCGCTCCTCCTCGTACGCGCGGAACGAGTCTGACACCTGGAAGGGGAAGTGGCGGAGACGCGCGTTGGCCGGCGTCAGGGCGTCGACGGCCGTCTTGTTCTCCACCATGTAGGTCGGCGTCAGGGGCACCCTGGGTTCCGAGCTGTCAAACATGCTGCGCAGCTGCGACGACAGCCACAGGCCGCCCACATGCGACTTTTGGATCGACCGCTTGAGGACCATGCCGTCGTGGACCGCCGTGACCGACGTGTTGGACCCGCCCACGTCGATGACTAGGGCCGTGGCCTTGCCGGCCGCAAAGGCCGACAGCACGGGCGTGCGCCCCAGCCAGAAGGCCGGGCAGCCCCACGACTCCATGATGACCTCGGTCGTCTTCTCACGCGCCTTGGCCGAGTTCCAGGCCGCCTCCGTCACCAGGAGCGGGTTCTCCTGCAGCGCCTTCTCCTGCTCCTCCGTGTGCTCCGCGTCCGTCATGGCGACGTCGCCGCTGCCCTCGCCCTCGGCCAGCTGCTCCTTGGGGTCGTCGTTGAGCCCGTTCTTGGACGGCGCCGTCGAGCGCTGCGGCTGCAGACGCTTCACCAACATGTTCTCCCACACCTTGGGCGCCACGTCCCAGTCCTCCACCACGCTGTCGCGGTTCATGTAGTTGCGCACCTCGAGGTTCTCGCGCGGGATCAGGTACTCGTCTCCGAAGAGGTCGCGCGGGGACTCCCCGCCGACGTGGCCGTAAAAGGAGGGGAGGACGAACTTGGGCGTGTCTTCGCCTGCCCAGCCCACGCGCGTGCTGCAGTATCCTGGGTCGAGAACAAGAGCCGACACCTCATCTGCCGTTTGCCGTTGCGTTAGCACTGCGTACACGCATGCACACGTCCCCCCCATCCTCTCCTCTCTCTCGGTCGGCAACGAAAGAAAGGGAAGAGACCGTGGCTAGATCTACGTACCTCCGCCGTAGATATCGGTCGGCTGGGCCGCCGACGACAAGGGCTGCTGCTGAGCCATCGTGTCTGGTTGCTTTTTTGTTCTTTTTCCGTCCCGCAAAGAAGGAAGAGGAACAGAAAGGGAAAGGGAAAGAGGGAGACTGTGTAAAGGAAAACGCGACGCGACAGGCAATTCAATGGATCCCGAGATGTAGTATGATGGATGGATGGAGGGGTTCGGATGACAAATTTCAGAACCGAAGCTGATGGAGTCTGCTTGGGACCCGTCAATTGAATAAACCGTCACAAAACGAGCGTCTTTCTTGGAGGCTGGTGAAAGGGCGGTCGCTTTCCATTCTGGGCTTAGCCCCGCTTCACCTGCTGTCGCCAGTTGGGGGGGGGGGGTGGTGGTGGCTCTCATCTGGCTCACTCTTCCCGTCTTCCTCTTCTTTTTTTCTCTACTTCTTCTGTATCGTTTTCGTTCTTGTCAGTCTTGTCTAATGTGATATATCAGTGAACAAGGATGCAAAAGAATACGTTGCAGTACCATCTCATTGAAATACGCCGCCCTGGCCTTTGAGCTGTTAGGCTGAATATACATATAAGTTTGTGTACAGATCTATCGTCACCACCGCCACCACGAACAGTATCGGACAATACATCTCTTGGTCTTCAACTCCCATGTTTGCCCTTGCGTTAGGTTTCTATTCTGACGCCTTGCGTGCTCTTGATCCACTCCCTCAGGTTCCTATGTAACAAGTACCAAGCACTGTAGCTCACCGTGCAGCAGACGACGTCCCATCCCACACTGCTCACAGCAGGGTGGTCATGAAGCAGGTTCCAGTAGAGATCGGCCCCTACCTCCTCGCTTACAGCGGCAAAGGTAGCAAAGCCGACGACAGTCGCCATGGCGCCTGTGTAGGTAGCCATGCGCGGCCAACCCGGCCCTGTTGATGACGATGAGCCCTTCGGTAACGCGCGGTTGAGTAGGAGCGGTGCGAACCCGAGTAGATGGGGCATCAGGAGAAGACGGAGGAAATGAGCCTGGTCGACGGCGGCGGGGACACCGAGAGCCAGGCTGACGGTGACGATGATGACGGCGTCGTACCAGAATGACGAGGCCGAGTCACCGTCATCGTCGTCGTCTTCGTCGCCGGCCGCAGACCCCTTCTCGTTGCCGTTGTCGTTCCTGCCATCAGGACTGTAGGCGGCCACGGCGAGGAAGAATAGGTTGGAGGCAAAGGACACGGCCACAACCTGGGCGAGGAGCATAAACAGCCACAGATGCGGTATGCCCCTCCTCCTCTCCTGATCGGCCAGCATGACGCTCCAGTTGGCGCAGAAGCCAAAGATCTGCAGCGACCACCATGACCTCGACGGCGAATCGAGCACCGTCGCCCACGCCTGCTGGAAGAGCTTGGTCTCCCGCAGCCACCGTCCCAGGTGCACCACGTCCGGGTCCAGCAGGCCCGGAATCTGCCTCGCCTTCCACTCATTGTACGACCACCCGAAGAATCGAAACATGTGGTACCAGGTCATGCCAAGGCTGAAGGCGGCGAGGAGGCTGAAGACAGTCAGGGCCAGCTTTCGTTGAGGCCACGGCTGTCGCTGCTGCCTCGACAGACCGCCGCGGATGATGGATATGCATGCAGCTGTCAGCACAGCGGCCGTCACCATGTAGCCGGAGAAGATGGCCAAAGGCCGCACGTTGGAGACCTCCTCCATATTTGATTTCGGAGGGGCGCGCGAGGTAGAGGAGTCGAGTCTAGCAGAGCTTCGTGGAAGTGGACAGACGATCTGTTTCATTAGCCTCGGGATTGGGCGCTATCCGTCAAGACCGGAACACTTATATCTGCAGCGGAACGCCCTTAGATGAGTATTGGTATGTATTCATTCAACCATCGCTCGATATCATTGCTGCCACGTACATTCTCATGGGTCGTGACCGTCAGTACTACTCACAGTAGTAGTATTACTAGTCATGCACGAAATCGTCAAAGAGCAATGACGACTCTCATTCAGTAATGGGGGGAGGTGAGCTTGCGTGGAGCCAATTAGGGAAATTATGTGGGACAGCCATTCGGTAGAACCAAGGGCCACCGCCCGAGGGCAGAAAAGCGAGAGAGGAAAAATTTCAGAGGAGTCAACCTTCTTTGTTCCTTCATCACCACCACTCCACCAAATCACCGAAATATTTTGGGTGTCGTCTTCCTCTCTGGGTACCGCCGTAATAAAGACGCGCGGCTCCACACGGACGATATGCTTGTGAGTATCTATTCCTCTCCCACCCTCTCCACCATTTTCTCCTCAGCCCTTGAACATCGTGATGAGATATGCATTTCTCGCTTCAGAACCGCTGCGATTGACACAGCTTGCTGTGCGTGATTATATCTGCCATATATCTGATAGGACATTCCTTCCATTTTGCCCTCTTCACTCGTGAAAGATTGACAACGGAAGACACGTGGACTGACAATAGCTTCCTCCATGTCTCTAGGCGTCATGACCTACGCGAACCGCCTCCGATGGGCATGCTGCCGGTCAGCTACCCCAATCACTCGCACTCGCAGCCAGCCCCCGGTATGGCATCGTAACAAATCTCCCGTCAGCTGGGTCACCCCCTCCCAGACCGCGTCTCGGTCCCTCTCGTCAACGTCTGGGGGAGCCCCCAACAGATTTCAGGGGGTCCGCAAGGGCGAGGAGCAACAAGAGGGACATCTGTCCCCTTGGAAGAAGCAACGCAAGAATGACCTTCGGGAAGCGCTGGAGGCCGAGGAGCCCCTCTTCACAGAGCCGTATCCCCGCGTAGGCTCCTCCAACTCTAAGGAGGGTGGCATTTGGCGCAAGTCGGTGCCAGAGTTTGTGCGTGATTTTGAGGAGAGGCTCCCTAATGAAGAGGTCAACTTGATGGGCCGCGTTCGGGCCAAGCGAATATCTGGCAAAGGCCTCATATTTCTCGACATCGTCAATGAGTTCCAGAAGGTCCAGGTCATGCTGAGCAAGAAGGGAGTCAAGAGCTTGTCGAGGGACAATGCCAACCGCTTTGAGCTCTTCAGGAATCTGATCCAAATAGGGGACCACATCTGTAAGCCTTCCCAGCACTTTGCATCGTAGTAAAAATAAGAAAAGAAGGCGAGAAGAGAACCAGCCTTGAAACCGTGCTGACATGCTCGAAGCCGTCACTGGCATCGCAACACGGACGTCCCAGGGCGAACCGACTCTCAAGGCCGTTGAGCTCCCCGAGCTTCTGTCTCCGGCCATGGAGCAGATTCCCGATGAGCTCACGGACCCCAAGACGAAGATGCACAACCGCCACGTCGACATGCTCGTCAACAAGGAGGTCACGGACGTGCTGAGGATGCGCGCCGAGATCACAAAGTTTATGCGTGAGCATCTGTACGCGAAGCGCTTCCTCGAGTTCCAGACGCCTATCCTGTCCCAAAACGCCGGCGGTGCCGTGGCCCGCCCCTTCGTCACAACGGCCACGGAGTTCAGAGACAAGCACTTGGCCATGCGCATAGCGCCGGAGCTGTGGCTCAAGCGTCTCGTCGTAGGCGGCGTCGACCGCGTATTCGAAATCGGCCCGTCCTTCCGCAACGAGGGCATCGACGCCACGCACAACCCAGAATTCACAATGTGCGAGTTCTACAGCGCCTACAGCAACCTCGCCGACCTCATCAACGAGACGGAGGAGCTCCTCGGCGGCCTGGCTGAGCGCGCGGCGCAGCTGATAGACACGGAGCTCACATCTCTCCCCCGTCTCGACATGGACCGTTTCAAGAGGCCCTTCAAGCAGGTTGAGTTCGTGCCCGCCCTCGAAGACGCGCTGGGCTTCCGCCTGCCCAAGCTGAGCTCCGAGGATGCCCTGCCGGAGCTGCTGGTAGCCCTCAAACTGGCCGACGTCTCCGTTCCCGGCGAGGTGCCCTCGACACTGCCCAAGCTGCTCGACCGTTTGGCCGCCATGTATCTGGAGCCGCAGTCATTCGAGCAGCCCGTCTTCATCACACACCACCCGTCATGCATGTCCCCTCTGTCCAAGAGCTTCGTCTGCCCCACCACGTTCCAGCTCGTCTCGGCCCGCGCGGAGCTCTTCGTCGGCGGCCGTGAGCTCGCGAACATGTACGAGGAGGAGAACGACCCGGAGGAGCAGAAGCGCAAGCTGGCTACCCACAGGAACCTGGTCAACAAGCCTGACGGCAGCGTGGCTATCGAGGTGCCACCGCAGTCGCACCCGCAGGACGAGGCTGAGATTGAGGGCATCGAGACGGATGTCGACGGCGAGACGTCTCCACTCGACCAGAGCTTCATCAAGGCCCTCGACTACGGTCTCCCCCCCACGGGAGGCTGGGGCTGCGGTGTCGAGAGGCTCGTCATGCTCTTCTCGGGCGCCAAACGCATCAGCGACTGTCTCAGCTTCGGCACCCTCAAGAACGTCGTCGGTCTGTCGGCCGAGAATGAGGACGACAGGAAGCTGAAGCAGCCCGCCAACACAAACGGCAAGGCTTAAACTGCCATTGGTATTAATCATCATCACCCTCATACGACACACACACCAGCATGTACTACCATCTACCTCTGCCATGAAAATCATTGTATACCAATAGCGCACCACATAATAATGTAACATAGCGATAGAAGCAATGTGAACCTTGGAATTTTTAAACAATGTATATTATATATGCTGCAACGTTGAACCACTGCTTTGAGAAACCTGATTCTTTTCTCTTCTTTTTTTTTCATTGTTCCGTTTGCTCAGTCGTCAAGCCCATTCCACTCATCATCGGCATGGCCGTCCCCCTGCTGGGTCTTCTTGCGCCTCTTGCTGGCCTCGATGGCGCCCAGCCTGTTATTCTCCTTCTGCCTCTCGTATCCGGAGGTGGTGGTGATCTTGGAGCTCTTGTTCCTCCCGCCCCTCTTGAGCTTCTTCTTGTCCCCCTTCGAGACGTCGGGCAGCCTGTCGAGGAGCCAGCTGGGCACGGCGGAGTCGGCGGGGTCGGTCTTGCCGGCCTGCCGTTCGCTCGCGACGATGACGTTGGCGATGGTCTTGAGGATGGGAACGTCGGCCTGGGTCCAGAGGGTGACGGCGACGCCGCCCTGGCGGCCGGCGCGTCCGGTGCGGCCGGCCCTGTGGACGTAGGCCGCGGCCGAGGAGGGGACGTCGTAGTTGACGACGCCGTTGAGGCCGCGGAAGTCAAGGCCGCGGGCGACGATGTCGGTGGTGATGAGGAGCCAGATGTCGCCGGCGCGGAACTTGCGGACGACGGCGGCGCGCGCCGAGTCGCTCAGGCCGCTGTGCAGCGAGGCGATGCGCGACGACCCGCCTGCCGACGCCGGTATATCGTAGCGCACCTCGTCATGTAGGGCCACGGCGCGGTCGACGGTCTCGGTGAAGACCAGGAACGGGAGGCGGATGCGGAAGTCGTCCTTGGACGTGGGGCGGAACAGCTGCCGCAGCGCGTACGGCTTGCCCTGCTCGCTGCCCGTGAAGATGAGCTTGTGCGTAATGTTGGGCACCGCCGCGTCCTTGAGCCCTACCACCAGCCGAACCAGCGGCCGGGGCTGCGCCATGCCTGTCGTCGACGACGCCCGCGCCCTGACGTGCTCCGTCACCAGGCCCTCAATGCTGGACCCCATCGTGGCTGACCAGAACGAGGCGCGCAGCGCCGGGTTCGTACACGCCGTCCACACGCCCAGCGTCTGCGTCCGGAACAGGGGGTCCAGCACCACGTCGGCCTCGTCCAGGACGAGCTCGCGCACCGTAGGGAGCGCCTTCGTGACGGCCGTGGTAGAGCCCTCTTCCTCCTCCGCTTCCGACGGCCCTCCCTGTTCCGTCAAGTACTTAAACAGCCGCACAGGCGTCGTGACCAGTATGTCCACTGCAGGAGCAGACATGGTCTTGGGTATATCGTCGTCGTCTGAGTCGGCCTGGGCTTCTTCCTCGTTGTCTGCGCGACCCTGCGAGGCCGGATCCATGCCCTTCTTCATGACGGCAACGTGGAGTCCCGTACCCTTCGTCAATTTGTTCGCCTCAAGAAGGATCTGGTGGACGAGTTCTCGGGTGGGCGCGACGATGACGGCCTCGAGCTCGTGGTGGACGCTCTCCTGCAAGCCCTCGCGACGGCGGCGCGACTGGATCGAGTTGATGACCGTGACGAGGAAGCTGACGGTCTTTCCGCTTCCCGTGGGCGCCACGGCCAGAAAATCGACGCCGTCTCCCACGCCCGTCTCCCCGTGCAGGGCCTGGTCCGGCCGCAGCAGCAGGGGCAGACTGCCCAGCTGCACTTCGGTGGGCTCGCGGTAAGCCTGCTCGTCGAGGTTGCAGGCCAGCTGGTTCGAGATGCCGTAGATGCTGCGCAGCTGGGAGAAGGATTCGAGCGGCTGCGGGAACAGGGGCTTCTTCCCATCCTTCTTGGCAGCGGCCCCCTCGTCCTCGTCCTGCTCCTTCTTGGCCTTCTTCTTGGACTTTTTGGCGCGCACCCGTTCCTCCTGCTGCCTCCACATGAGCGTCACCTTTATGCGGTGCGACTTGAGGACCTGGAGGCACTCCTCCTTGGTCAATTGTTGAGTGTGCAGGGGAGTATCCGCAGCGGGCTTGTCGCTTCCATCGTCGTCTTCTGCCTCGTCGTCGTCGTCATCGTCGTCGTAGGTCGTCGTCTGTGCTGCTGCCGCGCCAACTTCGGGCTTGGAGGCGAAGAAGTCGACGACGGGGAGCGGCTCGGAGTCGTACTTGCCATTTTCGTCGGATTCGCCACCCTTATTGACTGTACGTTTCCTCTTCTGTCCGCGTGTCTCGTCGTGGAAGAGCTGCGGGTTGGCGGCGGTCCCAGCGGACGGGAGTTTGGCACTGAGACGCTCAAAGGCTGAGGATTTGATATTGGTGCCTCGCGTCAGGATGCGGAACAGGTCCCTTGCGGACGAATTCCGTGGGTCATTGCTCTCTTTCGGTTTCGAGGGCGGCATTCTTGTTCTTGTTTTGTTGTGGAAGGGAGGTGTGCGTGGGTTTGCCGACTTGGTGATGAACAAAAAAAAAAAGTTTCGCTGCCAATCGATAAGAGCCTGTGACGTGGGCGGGGTGGGGGGAGTTCAAACTCCGATGAAACAATCTACAACACCACATCTTTATTGATAACAAAAGTATAGGAATCAATTTTTCGAGATGAGAATATAACACGAGCCTATTCAATCAATAGAAACAAAGATGAAGAACCCATTACACAATGCAAATATATGCGCCTTAGACTAAACGCCGTGCCCAAATGCCAGGCTACTTTCACGTCATGTCCTCGTACCCGCAGTCCTCCCTACCCTCGCCGTACAGAACCTCGCACACGCCGCCGAGGGGGATGTCCATGACGGCGTCGGTCCCCTCGTTCCAGATTTCCCTCCAGCGCAGCCTCCCGTCCCTATCGCACTTGGGCAGTCCGGACTTGGCCTTTTCCCTGGCGGCGGCCCCGCCGGCCTTGAGCCGGCCCTTGGAGTCGATGACGGCCGTGGTGCCCGCGCCGTCGACGATGGTCTCGGGGCTGGTCAGCGGGACGGTGAGCATCTCGGTGTTGTAGGCCGCCAGAGCCACGTAGATGTATACGAGCGTCATGACCAGGAAGGCCGGGACCGCCAGCGCCCACCACCGGTTCGGGTAGTAGTAGATGCCCAGGGCGTGCAGGAACGGCGACGGCAGGTAGCTCCACAGGAGGTACACCAGGAAGGCCAGGCTGCTGAAGAGGTACAGCACGAAGCCGTAATACTCGTACGTCGGGACCCGGGGCGCAGCCGCCCGCCTCACCGGCTCTACCGCGATGTTGCTTCTGTTGCTTCTGTTGCTGTTGCTTATGTTGATGTTGTTGTCGTGGTCGTCGTCGGACTCGTCCGGCGTCGTGGGCCGCGACGGTCGCAGGAGGGACGTGAGAGACGGAGAGGGTGGCAGCGGCGTAGGCGGCCGTCCGTAGAATGGGGGCGCGAATAAGTTTTGCGACGGCGGCTGCGGCGGCGACTCTTGGCCGGACGACGACCCGGATGACGACTCTCTGTCTGAAGACATGCACGGGTCCTCGTCGTCTTCTTCTTCGCCCGATGACGGCGGCATTCTGGCATGTATACGTGTCTGGCCGCTCCTCCTATTTGTCGTCTTCCTCCCGAAAGAATAACTCCAGAGCTTTCTTCGTCTCTTTTGGCCGATTCGGGCGCTATTGTTCGTTGTTATGTGTCTTTTCGTCGATAGCTTCGTTGCGCCGGGACTGTCATAGCCAATGGCGTCAGTCACGTGAACGCATTTTTCAACATCAAGGGGCTGCAGCAATAACCCCTTTTGATAGCATTTCTATATTGCTACTACAACATGCACACAAAACAACACACATGCTTTCCTTCTCTGTCCTCTCATCAGTCGGGCGCCGGCATTGAGAATGAGGTATATAACTTCTTAGCATCTCTAACTAGATACAACGTGGACGCTTGGAATAACTCTGTAAGAAAAAGAGAAGACAAGAAAAATGAGAAGAGTTGTAGAAGGAAAAGAGAGGGGGGAGGGGAGATGGGGAAGGCGACATTATCCATCAATAGGGCATTTATACTCCCTATCACTCCCAACGTGATGATCGTGGTTCTGCTTCTCCTGCACCACATCCAGACAGCTCCTGTGGTAAATGTGCCGACAGGCCAGCACGACCAGAGGCTCGAGGGGCGGATTATTCTGCGCAGCAACGGCAGCGACAGCGGCGGCAGTGCCGTCGTCGGCATCGGGGTCGGCGGCAGAAGCGGCAGCGGCAGCGGCAGCGGGTCCTACCAACATGCCCGGCGGCCGTGTGTCGAGACTCTTGCCCTTGCCCTTGCCATCGGCCGCCCTACCGCTCGCTATGGCGCGTTCCCTGACCCGAGCCTTCCGCTCCTTCTGCACCTCCTCGTCAAGGGCCTGCCTCTCCTCCCACGCCTCGAAGACCGCACGGCCGGGCACTCCTGGACCCCATACCCGACGACCGCAGGCCTCGCACGTCGACCCGCGCGGCCGCCACCCTCGCTGGCGCAGGTTGACAGCCTGGTTAACGTTGACGTACAGGCTCCGGTCGAGCAGGCGATTCGACAGGCGCAGGATGGACTCCTCGTACGCGTACGCGGCGAAGATGGACGTCAGGACCCCGCGCAGGTCGGCCAGGTTGGGCGACTCGGCGGCTGCCTGGGTGAGGAAGGCGCGTAGTATGCGCAGGAACGAGAGGTTCGACCCCACGTTGGACAGGACTTTGCCGCGTCCGCCACCGCCGCCGCCACCGCCGCCGTTGGCTTGGCCGCTCGACGATGACGACGTCGCTGTCAGGAGTGCCGTGAATGTGTGTTGTACGAGAGATCGCAGGAGGGCGAGCATCTTCTCGCCGTCGAAACCGTCGTGTCCGGGCTCGGCGAGCGCGTGGATGGGACCCGACAGCCGACGGGTGACCTGGACACAGGCGTTGACGAGGTTTAGCCATAGGGCCTCGTCTATGGAGAGAGCCCCGACAGCAGTCGCGGCTCCCTCCCCATTGGCCTTGTTCTTCTGAACCACGTGCGACTTCCTCGTCGAGGAGGACGACTTGGTCTGTCCCTGGCATAGCCAGATGCCGACGTAGACGTACTTCTGCAGGTCGAGAAGAAGCTCCTCGACCGTCGTCACATCGAGGTCGACGGAAGATGCATCGTCTGCCGTATTCGCGCTGCGCAGGAGGCCCTGCAGAGCTGACTCGAGACTGCCCAGATGCTCTACCAGGCGATCCAGGGCCTCCCTGACCTGCCCGTCCTGGGCCATGAGCACGACGGCGGCGTTGATAACGCCCGTCTCCTCCATGGTGGGCAGGAGCCTGTCCAGGCGAAGGTTGATTGACTGCACCGTGCCTATATAGTCGGACACGTGAGCCGGCTCGTAGGAGCACATGAGCTGTACGTATCGCTCCACGAGGCCCCGGTCGGCGGCCTTCCCGTCCCCCGCCCTCGCGTGGTTCTCCCTGGGTTCTAGCAGGCTTCTGAGATAACCGTGCTGCAGCTCCGGGTCGTCGGCCACCGAGTCCAGAATGTGCATGTGAAGGTCAGTCGCCTGCTCGTGGAGTGTCTGGGCCGCCTGCTCGGGGTCGAGCTCCAGCAGATCCCGCCCGTGGCGCTGCACAGCACCCAGCACGTCGTCTACCTGGCGCTTGTTGAGCCCGCTCTGCCGGCGGAGACAGTCGGCGATGCAGTCGAACACGAGCTCCTGGTCCTCCGGGTCTTCGAAGTAAGTCTCGACCAGCTTCCCGTACTGCTTGTCGACCTTGTAGACGCGCTTGAGGATGCGGTAGAAGCCAGCCTTCTTGAACAGAGGTATCAACGTCTCCATGTCAGATGGATGGTAGACGGACAAGAGGTACTCGGCGCTCAGCTGGGCGTCCTCGGCGAGGTCGCGGCCAGGGAAGTTGCAGAGCCCGGTCAGGACCTGGGAGAGCGTGGATCCGGAGAAGAGGAGGTACTGGGGGAACTTGGGCAGGTTGCGCGCGATGAACATGTCGAGGTAGATTGTGTCCTCGGGGGCGAAGTCGTCGTGGTTCATGACGTCCAGGAGGATGGACACAATGTACTGGCGGTTGATGGTCTGGCCAAAGATCTGCTCCTCGGGCATGTCCACGCGGCTGCTGCCGCCGTTGATCTGCTTGTCGGGTGAGTCGTTGAGGAACGAGTCCTCGAAGGCCTCGTTCAGGGTGCTCAGCAGGCTGGGGGCATCGAAGCGGAGTATCAGCCTCAGGTACGGGAACGATGGCTGGGACTCCTCGGCCGACAGGGTGAGGAATTCGCGCCCACCCTCCTTGGGCCAGGCAATCGTCTTGCCCGAGAACAGGAACCAGTAGATCTCGGCCTTGGCCTTGGTGGCCGCGTCCTCGTCCATGGGCTCGCCATTGGGGTATATCCGACTGGTCAGGACGTAGGACAGGTAGGGGAAGACCTTGAGGGCGTGGACGCCGAAGTGGTCCTCCCCGATATCGATCGCCTCGTTGCCGTCGGTGACGAACGGGATGAGCAGGCTGAGCAGGTCAATCATGGGCGTGACGTAGTCTCCGATGGCGTGGTTCCACACGTAAATGAGGGCGTCGTAGAGGCCGTGCTGCTTGCACAGGAGGGTCGTCTGGTCCAGGTCCAGCGTCGTCGTCTCCATGTGGCAGATGATCTCCTCCAGCCGCGTCTCCCACCCGTTGGACACGTAGTACGCTACCATGTCCCTGACCACTGCGGGTGGCGCGATCGTGATGCTCCCGTCAAGGATGTAAGGTTCGAGCGTCTCCAGGAAGATCCCCTCGACGTCAGCATCGTCGTACCACTCGTACATCTCGTCAAAGAGGTAGTCGGTGTCCCCGACGTGCTGGCAGGCCACGAAGCAGGTCTCCGCCAGCTGCCGCAGGTGATGGTCCCCTGCGCTCTGCGGATCCCGCTGTCTGCGGTGGAAGGCGTACTTGAGGGAGGCACTCATGATCTCCATGATCTTGTCCCTGACCATCGAGTGCCTCAGGGACGGGTCGTCGGGAAGGCCGACGGTGAGCTTGTCGGTGTCGCCGGTGTAGTAGGACGTGGCCAGCTGGATGGCGGCAATGTAGTCGCCGTGCTCCATGAGGGCGATCAGACGGTCGGCCCAGTTGGACAGGGCGCCGATGGAGACCTCGTTGAAGCCGAGCAGGAAGATCCTCCCCTTGTAGGTCTTGAAGCTCATGTAAAAGGCGTCGCCGACGACGCCGTGCATGGCCTCGTCCTCGTCGTCCAGCTGCTCGACCAGGCTGTGCAGCTGTCTGGAGAAGAGGTCGGCGTGGTAGACGTGCCTGTTGATGAGGTCGAACGCCTCCGTCATGCGCATGCTCCGGTCCTCGAGCACAATCAGCCGCTGCGACAGCGTCAACACCGTCAGGACGGAGCGGCTGAGCCACTGCACCGAGGCGATGGCCTCCTCGCACCTCCACCGGCTGCGCGGCTTGAACCGCAGGGCGGGGGGCTGGTCCCTGTCCTCGCCGTGCACCTCGTCCACGTCGAGCACGGTGAGCACGTTGGACCAGCAGTAGGCCAGCTTCACCTTGGAGATGTCGCTGGCCGTGTGGGGGTCGGCGACCTTGAGCTTGACGGCGGGGAACCAGGCCAGACAGCCGGTCATGGGGCTGTGAGCGGCCACGTCCTTGGGCCGCGCCGACTTGTGCTGGGTCTGGGCGACAGGCGTGGTCGAGACGATGACGAGCAGGTAGGGCGTGAGCATGGCCGTCAAGCCCATGGCGTCTGTAGAGCGCTCGACGTTGCCCAGGGGCAGGGGGGAGAAGGCCAGGACGGTGCTGGGCTTGATGGGCTTGCCGGGCGGAGGCGACGCGCCGGGGTAGCGGCCCAAGATGCGGGTGGTCCTGACGGTGCGGCCGAGCGCGCCCGTGCCTCGCGTGGCCAGGTGGGAGAAGGCCATGCCCCTCTCGTCGGCCGAGACCAGCGCCGTGTGCCTGATGCCCAGGAAGCCCAGGTGGGTGACGGCCGCGTTGGGCACGTGGCCGTCGGCGGTGCGAGCGTCGGCCTGGGCCTGCCCGATGTGCGGTATGGTGAGGAAGGGGCGCGAGGCGCGGCTCATGTCCCAGGTGAAGATGTCGCCGTTGGCGTGACCGCCGGCGACGGTGGAGTGGTCGGCCGAGATGGCGACGGCGGTGATGGGGCCCGACTCGACGGCCTTGGTGCCCGGGCCGAGGATCATCTTGAGGTTCTGGCCGTAGTCGAATATGAGGATGATGCCCTTGGAGGTGCCGAGGACGATGGAGGCCGAGACGGCGAGGCAGGTTGGGGAGCCGAAGCTGCGCCTCCCGGCCTCGGAGAAGGCCTGCGCGTTGAGCTTCGTGAGCCTCGTCCACCGTACCACGTCCCAGGGTGGCGACGACTGGCTGTCGGTGTCGTGCTGGTCGAGCACCAGGTTGAAGTTGGAGCTCACCGAGGCGTTGCGGCTGTGCGAGTTCACCAAGGCCGGCGACGACGCCCGCGGGCTCTGCAGCCCCGACGAGGGCGACGATATCCTCGACTTGAAGCGGCGGTCGAACGGGCGGAACGACGGCGTCGGACTCCCCAACGCGGCGCGCGAGGCCACCGACGGGAGCATGCTGCTTCCCGGCGAGGACATGACGGAACCCTGCTCTCCCGTTCGTCAGTCCATCTCACGACCCTGCCATCCATCCAGCATCGTGCTTGCTCACCTGCATAGACGCTGCCTCATCCAGCCCGGACAGCACCGAATCTATAGGGCTGTCCACCCGCCGCGACGCCGTCATGAGATCGGGCGAGTCGGCGCCGCCGACGCTGCTCCCTCCCTCCCCATCGTACTGCAGCGGTGATGCTCCGTTTCTCGGCGCGTGTGTATCGTCGTCATCATCGTGCGCGGGAGAATCTGCGCCGGTCTGCTGCTGCTGGTCCTGATCGAGGTGCGGCACGTCGTCCGCCGCTGCCGCTGTCGCTGTCGCAGTTATCACATCCCCTTTATCTCGGTCCTCCGTTTCTACGGGAATATGATTGGACTCGGCCATTATGCCATATGGCCTTTCCCACACGAACACTCCACCGGAGCCTTTTTATTATTATTATCGTATCGAGAACATGCCTGGTCGGGGGTGGTGAAGGCAAGAAGCTGGGTTGTGGGCCTTGCGTGTGCTCAGATGCCAGTTGGAGGGGTGGTTGGTGTTGGTTCCCTTCGTGCTCGTGCTCGCGCTCGTGCTGGTAGATCTAGCGCCAAGAAAGACGAAGCTCGGAATTGCAGGGGGGGGGGGATGATGAGTGATTGAAGTCAAGAAGATGTCTACGCTCGGGGGGAGATTGGAGGAATTGGGAATTGGGTAATAGGACGTCGTTTCTTTCCTCCTTTCTTTCCTTCTCTCTTACTTCTCTGTTTTTTGGGTTTTTTTTTTTGTCGCTGGGATGGAAGTTCAACGTCGGTGCAATGTAGCTTCCGACTGTAACCCGTTAGGTCCGTGTGGGATATTAATACTGTATACAAGCAGGTGAACTCATGGATGAGTTTGGGCCTACCTTTGACCTCTTGTGGAGTTTACCGGCTGGTACGGTTGCGTACGTGTTGTTGTACCTCTGCGCTGCAGATGACGGCCCGGCGATGTTCCGTGCTCGACATCGGATATGTGATGTCGTTTGATGTCGTTGGTACGAGTGTGGTTGTAGAAGGGGATGGTTTCATTCTGGAATGGCTCAAGTTTCTCTCTTCCTATAGAATAGGAGATTGCTACTGTTGAATTTTACGTGAATTTCCTATGCTGATATATGCTGTGCTGTGTTGTATCGTCCTTAGCCCAGCATTGCCGCTGCTAGCAATGGTAATAATACTGAGTACCTACTATTACATCGTATTATTATTACTTAATGGGAGAAAGAAAAAAAAATAGACCTCCCCCCCCCCCCAAAAAAAAAAACAAAAACAAACAGTGACGTACATGCTCCGACCTCCCTCTCACATCCATCACAGCAACCGCAACCATGTCCTCGATAGGCCCTCAACTCCCGCCTCACCTATCCAAGCGCAAGCGTACACCTACACCAGAGGCCGAACCTCGGTCCAAGAATTCGCGGACCCACGGGCCCTCTCTCCCCGCTGGTCCCTGCTCCCTAGATTCAGACCCAGACCCAGACTCGGACTCGGATGACGGCTACGGCCCGGCGGCGGCGACGGCGGCAGCACCGTCCAGACCGAGCCGTAACCGGGATGAGATCGGCCTGGACGGCGACGACTCTGACGGCTCTGCAGGACCAGCACCGGCTGCGCCTGCTGCTTCTGCCTCCGCTGCACCCGCCGCAGACCGAGACCCGGACCCGGACCCAGACCGCGACTCCGGCTCAGATTCCGACTCGGACTTCGGTCCATCCCTGCCGTCCTCGAAGCCCCAGATCGGCCCGTCCCTGCCCCCGCCACCGACGTCGGGAGAGGGCGACGCCCCCCGCCGCGACGAGTGGATGCTCGCCCCTCCCACGTCGGGGCCCTTCTCCGAGCGCGACCCGACCAAGATCCGCGCGCGCAAGTTCGCCACCACGAAGCCCGGCCGTCCCAACCCGGGCGACATGGGGAAGGGGCAGCAGCCGAGCTCGATGTGGACCGAGACGGCGGAGGAGAAGCTGCGGCGGCTGCAGGATTCCGTCCTGGGACGCACGCCGGCGGCGCAACCCGGTTCCGGTCCTGGACCGGGGACGGCGCCCGACAGGGAGCAGGAGGAGCGGAACCGTCGCATCTCGGCCAACGTCGAGGCCTCGAGGGGCAGGAGCCTCTACGAGGAGCACAGCCACAAGAGGAGGGACGGGAGGAAGGCCGGCGCCGTCAGGGAGAAAGAGGACGACGATCCTAGCAAGAGGGGCTTCGATAGGGAGAAGGACATGGCGTTGGGCGGCACGCTAGGCGCCGCCAAGCGGAAGGAGTTGCTGGATAAGTCGGCCGGGTTCGGCGGGAGGTTTTCCAAGGGGTCATTCCTGTAGTCCCGACTACTATCATGACCGGTAGCACCTGTACATGTCAAGGCCGCTCGCTACGAGTACAGTGAGTGAAACGTCCGCCGGGGGCTCTGCCCGAGAACCCCAATTCATCATCAGACAGTCACTCCCTCTTTGATGCATCATGTCATGCTGTATATGAGCTACTTATATAAGCCACTTAGAAGTCGTAGATGCTACCTTGAAAACAAGAAGGGGGGGGAAATCGTAATTCAAAACTCCTTCGCTCCATATAACAAACTTGCTCGAGTCATCGAGCTTTGCCTTCCCCACTCTGCCCCTCGTCATTTGGTCGATATAAAACAAAATAAAAATAAAAAAAAGAGAGAGAGGAAAAGAAACGGCAGATTCCTTTTTCCTCTTTACGCAAGAGTCGTTGTACGGGGGAAAGAAGAGGGAAACAAGCAGCGTCGAAATGGTATTACCCTCTTGTCATCCAACTGTTACATATGTCTCCCCTCTCCCTCGTTGCACATATATACCAGTTTGGGTATGGCATATTGCGTTGAAAACGAGTGTCGTGAACGCAGAAGGTAGTAGTGACATGTGTGTGCGTATGTGTGTGTGTGTGTGTTTGTGGTATTGAAAAGGCAAGAGAGCATGTCGGAAAATCAGTAAAGGTGCGTGACGCAAGACGTCGTTCGGTGTGACGGGCCGAAGGTAGACGTCATAGAGCAACAGATCATGCTCGGGCGGTGCCAGACTCGAGTTGCGATGGAGTCACCTCGGCTTGCTGCTGTGTCGAGCTGCCTGTCGTCCGGTCGTTTCCACGGCTGCCGAACCTCAGAGCGGAGCGCATATAAGCAAACATGCCGGGGCTGGAACCCACTTCTCGGGTGCTAGCGGTCCGTTGCCGTCCAGGCGCGGAGTTGTCGGCCCGTGCTCTCCTCCGACGTGAACGGCGGGGAGGTGCGGTAATCTGGGGATCGTAGGTCGGAGTGCGGAAGACGCTCCTGAGCACGGTAGGCAGGTTGAGACGCGAGTTGGCGGGGGCGTCAAACGCAGGCGGGCTGGCGGCGTTGGGGTCCTGGCCATCCTGGTTGGGACGCGGCTTGGGGATGTAGTAGTCTGCCTTGCAGAGGGGGCAGCAGGCGCGGCGGCTGGTGAGCCAGGGGTCGATGCAGCCGGCGTGGAAGGCGTGGCCGCAGGTGAGGCCGCGCACGTCGTCGTCATCCTCGAGCGTGTCGATGCAGATGGCGCAAGAGTCGCCGGGGGCCTGGATACGGTCGGGGGGTAGGGCAGCGTTGATGTGCTCGTCGTCGTCGTCGTCGTCATCGTCGTCGTCGCGGCTGTCGACGCGCTGGGTGTTGGTCGAGGGCTGGCCCTGGTCGTGGCCAGAGACTGGTCGCGATTGTTGCTGAATGTCTTGCCTCTTCTCATTGATGTTGTCGTCGTCGTCGTCGCCGTCGCTGGTGGGGGCAGCACGGGTGGGCGATGCTTCCCTAGAGGTGGCAGTTGTGATGGTGGTGCTGTTGTTGTTGTTGTTGTCGGCGGGCTGCTGGGATGATGGTGAAGGGTTGTCGGACAATGTCCGCTCGTTGACCGAGGCGTCGGGGAGGATGCCGTCAGCGTTGCCGAGGGTGGCGGCGGGTCGTGCGGCGTCTGGGTCGATGCCGCCGGCGGTGGGGAGACCTTCGTGGGCACGACTCGAGACCCAGGCCTTGTACTTCATCATGGGGAACTTGTCGTTGACCTCGTCCATGGTCATGAGTTTCTTCTCGCGGCGGCGACGGTGAGGGCGCGGCATGTTCTCCATGTTGATGGGTTCACCCTCCTCGCTCAAGCGGGCGGCTCGATTACGAGCGTTGTATCGAAAGCAGTATTTGACGCCAACAATGATCCTGATTTTGACAAGAGTGTTAGCCAGCCACGACGGTCTCTATCTCAGATGGGATCGACGCACCATAGATTGGTGAAGACGACGCCAAAGCCTAGGGCGACGAAGAAGAGGAGCGGGGAGCTGGAATTGCTGCCGCGGTCGCGGTCGGTCTCCTGGTCGTTCTTGTCGTCGGAGCCGGTCGTGGTGGTGGCTCTGGCGATGAGGACTACGGTCTGGGAGATGGTATCTTTAAGAGACGACATGGCTGATTGAGGGTGCAGGGTTGATTGCCGGGATGGATGAAATTAGTCGGCAGATGCTGCCCTTCTCTTTCCCGGGATTGATTCGTCTACAGGGACACCGCTGCCTCCACCATCGCAAGGCGGGACTCGGCCAAGGCTCGGAGCCCAGAGCTCAGAGGGAGATGATGGTCCCCAAGACGGATGGCGACCGTGTGGTGAGGTCGGCAAGGTGGGAGTTGACGCGGCTATAATCATCGGTTGTGACGAATTCTCGGTCGATAAATGACGACGTCCGAGTATATTTAATTTTTGCGGCGAGAAATAAAATGAAATAGAACAGAATCAAATGAAATAGGGGAGGGGGGGTGGGGGTCGTTGTAGGGGCGGTGGAGGTTGGAAAATGAGAAGAGGGAAAGCGAAAGACACAGACCAAGACGATGGTTATGTGTGAGTGACGTTACGATATTTGAGGGGAGGGATATGAATGGATTTGAATGGATTTGAGCGATGGGGGGGGAGGAGGCCAAGGGTGTCGCAGGTGGATGCCCGGGAGGGAGGTTGGTAACTTTGGTGGAGCGGGATGAACAGTGAACAGTGGGGAGGGAGGCAGCAGCAGAAGGAGCGAAAGAATAAGTGGAGTGACAAGGGAGACAGGCGGCGGGTAGCCTGTAGGTGAGAAGAATTTGAGAATGATGGCTGCTGATACCAGTTCGTATCCGTACTGCTCCGTACATGAATTGTATTATATGGTACGGGTACGGAGCACGGAGTGAAATTATACGGACATGATGGTCAAGGAGGCCATCGGTGAAGGCGGGAGAGTGCTCGTGTGATATATGGGCTCTACCCGTCCGTACTCGTCGTGCAGGTAGGAGCAATAGAAGCAATGGAAGCAAGGCGGGGTTCAGTATCAGCACCTTGGGGGATGGTATGACACCGTACGGCGGGATAAGTAAAAGAGAGAATTGACGTAGAAAGTAGAGAGCCCGGAGGAAGCAGCGGTAGTAAGTAATAGTAAATAGCAAGTACAGATCTGTAGTGATAGTAAGTACAGATTAGCAGTAGCAGTAGCGTAGTAGTACTGGAATATTGCTACTGCTGCTGCTCCTACTACTACTACTACTACTACTACTACTACTACTACTACTACTACTACTACTACTACTACTACTACTACTACTACTACTACTACTA